TATAATCGATACTGAAATAATATAATTATATTATAACGCGCGAATACACGTACTTTATAATGCTAYAATATCAAACTGTGATCTCATATTTATTTATTTTTTATTGTGYAGTATAGATAATAAATATATATCATGGAAATTGAATTTGAATAAATTTCATATTTTATGTTTCAGATTGTAAAAGCTGCTAGTCCAGTGTTGTTACAGATAATAATCTTGGGAGCTTTTTTTATGTATACAACGGTAAGCTATGACAACACCGAGCGCATTCAAAGAGTGAACAGCGTTTTGATTAAAAAAAACGTATTAATATTGCAGACATAATTTCACAAACTAAAAAAAAACAACAACAACAATTTACAAAACTCCCCTAAAACATATTTGGTCTAACGGCCTATAATATATATTAAATGGAGTGTGACTAAAAAAATATTATATTATCTAAATTCTCAGTAAAGCTTAAATATTATTTAAAATCATCTTGGTTTTCAAATATCTCATTCTCAATTTCATTCAATTGATAATGCACCAAATTTTAAATTTTAATTTAAATTAAAATTTTTAATGTATTTTTAATACTAATTATACTCATAATCGTGACGTGATGAATTTTAATTAGAAGAAGGAGAGTTGGCTATATCCTATAATATTTCGGATAAGCAACATATTAATTAATACTGAAAATAWACATAACTATAAAAAAATTACAGAGGAAAACTAGACTAACCAATAACGCCAGCTATAGTCCAGTTAGTCACCACCCTCCGCCAGATACACATAAGTCTATGATTGAACACTTCGTAGCCACTTATATGTTTGTTTAGAAAATCAAAATTAAAGTACCATTAATGCATGGATTCATTTATCGTGACAATAATGTGTTATTAAGTCGAAGATTTCTATTTATTCTACTATTTTTAAATTAAACTTTTTAAAAAAATGCTGACTTAAACGATGATATAATCAATCTTAAAGCAGAATACAAAAAAAAAAAAGAATAAAAATTTAAGATTTTAAACTTTAGATTTTTTTGACTTAAGTCCTAGCTGATTAAGACCAATAATTTTTAAAATATAATTAAACCGTTACTCACTAATAAAGCTAAAATTGTAATAAAATTACCAATAGTGTTTGTTTTATTTTTTTGCAGATTATCGTCATGTACCCAACACCAAATCTAGTAACGTGTACTGCGCGATTTTGGCTCAGGGAAATTGGATTTTCCCTCACATACGGTGCACTCATGTTGAAAACTTGGAGGTGAATTATTCGGTTACTTCCTTTAAATAGTAGATCCCCTGTAGTTTCGGAAATAATTCCTTGCTAAAGGTTTGGTTTTCCGCTTAGCTAATAAATACCCATTTATTTCTATCTTCAACTTTAATCCACTGTATCCGTTTTTGGGTCCCGAACTTGATAAAATATAAATTTGCCTCGTTCAAATGTGCTTATGCATATTTATAATGTGTTAATGTAATCTGAATTATTAATATAATATTATTTTATAATCATATTCATTTATCAKTCATGTGCTCATCTTACTCATAACACCTAATAATTATGACAGTCTGGTTATTATTTTTATAATGCCATATTTATGTTTATACTACACTAAACACGTCATGAATTTAATTATGAATTTAATCAT